ATCTGATTTAATCTGACTAAAACCTGATATAGGTACGAGCGAATAGGCTCCAATTTTGTTTTTGCTTATTTATGAATAACCTAACTACCTTTGCGTTAACTATGGCATAGTTACAGCGACCAAGATATGATATATAAAAAACTTTCAAAAATCTAAAAATTAAAAAAACACAAAAAAACATGGAGCCTACACCTACATCAAATGGAAAGAGTATTGTTTATGTTTATAATGTTTATTGGTTTTGTGTTCTCTGCTGCATGTTCAAAGTACATGATTTTTAAAAATATATTTCTCTGAAATTAAGTATTGCACGACAATACAGGAGTAAAACTATTAAGTAAAATGAGTATAGTCTCTATAAACCAGAGAATATAAACCATATATATATGTATGTCATGCTAAAAAGATCAAAATACAGTAAGTAACTGTCTATAGGACCCACTGCACCTTTAAATAAACTGGTGCTCCTGTTTATCATTACATTAGATGACAAGAAAGTGGTAATATGGTAAGCTCAAGTGTATACTAGACAAAACACAAACCACAAACATCAGGGGTGGACCATTAAAACTCCGGGGGGGGGGGGGCAGAAATCTACACAGCAGCTGTGGCACTTAGATATTAACACAATTTCCATGATTCTGATATTGACACATCAAAGTTTTTTGCTGATATCATGTCATTTCTAGATTTTTATATTATGACTATACAGGTAAGTAAAAACACAAATATGACAGGCCTGACTTTATAACCTGAATCCAAAGATAAACTGAGCATGCATAAAAGATATTGATCTTTAGAAGCCACCAGAATGGTAATTTGATCTGCTGTGGTTTGATGGTATTGCAGTTCATATTTTGTGTGGGGAATTTCCCAGTTTTGTAGAAATGTAACAGTAATTCTTCCTTCTCCTCAAACCTTTGGTACAACCATCGCATTAAGCCATCTTCATCCACTGGTACATCATTTATTGGATAATATCGATAATGTACAACTGTTTGACAGGGTTCTCTCCAACCACACACCCATGTTTGAACATTCATCGGCTTGATATCTGGATAGCCTGGGTAGCCGATGGTCATATCAATTATCCATTTGACCTGACGTTTAGTGACTGAGAGAAAAATTATATAAAAGGTTGTTATAGTACAAATTTGTTGCTGATCAGAATAAAAACATCCCTTGAATAAAAGTCAAATTGTGATTTTTATGTACACTGATGTTACTGAAATACACATTTTTGACAGCAATGCTACATAACTGGGTCAAATATCATCATCCCAGAAATCTTGTCTGGTCGATATTAGCAACTACCTGATGGTAACTTTCATTGATATTTACAATTTGTTTTCCTCATGAATTATTCATTTATAATATTACAATACACTGACTTCTTGGATTCCTTCTTGGGTTACAATAGAATTTCAGAATAAAATTGCAAAACAGAACAGAACAGAAATTGGATTCTTGACAAATGGCGTCCACCCACATTATGTCGTAACATCAGCAATTGATGTCAACTGCCACCAATATGTTATTCATGGTAGACATTATGTAAGGTACATGATGCTGAACACACTGTTTTATTAATATTGACCTGTTAACTATGATTCTAATCATGAGGTTATTACAAGAATACAGCAAAGTATGCAAGAATGCAGTACAGTGATGGTATAGACTGACGCATAGCTGAGGTCAATGTGATCCTGCACTGCCTGAGTCCATACTTTTAATTTGTGGTATTCTTGTGATAACCTTTTATTATACATGTTTCCTTGCTTATAATCATCATTTAGTGAGATATAACAGTTCCAAATGCAGATGAAAAGTATTCAGATTGTTTGTGTTCAGTAATGTTATTCTATTTTCGCTGCTATGTAAATTATTGATGTGAACAAAAGTGTTCAAATGTATTATAAATATTACGCAAATTTTCCATATAAAAAAGATATTAGTGTCCAGAACACGTTTGAATATGTCTAAATGAATTTAAATGTTTTTACTGCCAGATGTACAATAATACAATATCTAAATAGTTAAAATAGTCTTACTGTTATCTCGGAATCCATTCTTCTTTGCCATATCGGGATAATGCCTGAGTGTATCCATTATAGTTTTCATAGCACCAAGGCGTGGGAGGGTTACATGCTCAAATACTGGCAATTTGTTTTTCTTTGCATACCTAAAACAATAACATCAAATATAACACATCACCCTCTGACGCCATTGTGTAAATTTCATAAATCAGTTCACATATAAGCAAAGGTCGCCAGTGAATATGGGTTTATTCTTGAGAAAGATGCAATTTCTCTCAAATTTCTCTCTCTTTTTTTAATAATTGAAACTTGGAGAGTGCTTATCCCATAAATAACAGAACATGTCATTTGATATGAGAAGAAAGACATACACTGATTGGAACTCAGTGATACTGCCTCAAATCAAGTGAAGGAATGCGGCTCTGTAGCAATGAAAAGAAAAATTGTGCATTTTATGACAGCAGTAGATGAGAAGCACACCAGTCGACACACAAAACACCCTAACAATGCTAAATGAACTGATCTATCATCATCTCCTAAGCTTGTAGGCTTGTGCTGTAATTTACCAACATGAAATTATGTATGCAGACTAGAAAAAACTTGAAACTTGAATAATAAAAACTTTATTACACTACCGAACCATCAGCGGTTCAGTATGGTAAATAAAAAAGTATTACAAGATTAAGACAATTACAATCAATACAATACAATAATAGAAAATAAAATAAAATAATATGCATCACTTGCCATACGCCTATACAAGGTCGTTTGTTGAGAGGAACATAACATGGCATCATGAACAGTATCTACCTTTATTATTTTACAATTGTACATAAAAACATGGTCGAGATGATGATGCAAGAGAGGCTTTATACTATGATGTAGCAGTTTTCATGTGACTGGTAAAACATCACTGAGCTTTTGTAACAACGCACTTTACTTACTTTTGGTTGCCTGCTCTTCTTTTTCTTAGAAATCCCCCTTCTGGAAAGAGGATAAGCCATTTTCTATACCTTGTCCAATATGTACTCATTAAATGGTTCCTGAGTAATTTCACTTGCTGATCTCTATATTGTTTACCCTACAAGACATAATTGCATGGACCATCTAAAACAAAGGTGACTAATGTTATTATTACACGGTTATGAAGAAAAGGTTGTTGCTTCCCGATCATGTTTTCCCCTGTAACATTGTCAGCAGTATTTCTTTTTACATTGTTGGAAGTTTGAACGATTTAAGAACCTTGTTACAGGGGTTTTAAAAATAGTGTTTCGATTAAGTACTAGGCAGTATACAGAATGAAGTATAGGCTATTGCTACATAACACCATAACTGCCTTATTTATTGCAACATAATACAGCACTTATACATATTGCTACATTGTGACAGTACCTTGGTACAATCAACACTTTCTGCCAAATTCACTCGTATTCCTAGCACTGAACAGCACACATCGAATATTACCCAAACAACTACACAGCCTAATAATACACATCGACTAATTCGTGATGTTCTAAGATTTCAATACACGGAGTCCCAATTAACGAATGTCCGTATTTATGATTAGGAACCAAAACATTGAAGTCACTTTCATCCATGTATTTTAAACGATGCAGATCTACAACACGCATTTCATCAATAAATTCTCGAGTGTAAATCATATTTCGTTCGGTGAATCTTTCTGCGGCTGGAGTATTTAATCTCTTCCATGTCCAGTCTCTACCTGTAAATCTGTGGCGAACGGCGTTGAAAAGCGTAAACACACACACATTTGTTGCCGATACTTCTTGAAGTCTCTCCTGCATCTCACAATAAGTGCTTGATGGCCTATCTGCTTTAAGAGGTTCAAAAAATTTTAAATCTCCATGCGGTAATTTGGTGGGTCTCCCCCTATTCAGGACAGGATTTCAAATGATAATTCTTCAGATTTAGAAGAACAATATGTAATGACAAATACCTGTTGTATAAAGAAGTCCCCATGGATATAGGAAACTGTTCCAAAAGGTGCACATAGAAATAGTTTATCCATTAACCACATAACTTGTGATAAAACTTTTCCTTTGTGTTGTAGACATGTCATCAATGTTAGAACATCACCAGTTGATTGATGATTCACCATAATCACTGCCTCATCATCTTGGATGGCACTAATGTCCATACCAGTCTCAAATACTGTAAATCAAAATAAATAATTATATTATTCAGTTTTGAATTGCTTCAATATTACTGCCCTCACATTTGATATAGTGTGTGATACAGATGTGTGACTGATGTACATTTGTATGTGGATCATTCAATATTGGGGTACCGGTACTACTATTCATTATGTGTATTATATTATATGTATTTTTTTACTAAATACCTGAGTAGATTATATGTATATTCACGAAGCAACCCTCATGTATACATATATAAACTATATATAGACAGATTTATTGTACATGCAATGATCAAAATTGTTTAATTTATACAGGGATTAAAGAGCATTGCTGATGTGTTTAATATTTTACAGGATGCCCAAAAGTAATTAAAGTACAGGTCAAAAACACATAATAATATATGGCATTTTAGACATTGTTATTATTTTTGATATTACAATGCATTTGATAATAAATTGATAATTCATTCAATTGCTAAATTAAAAATTAATGACACCATTAAAAACATCTGTTCAGCAACATCTAAGGAATTCATTTATTTTCATAATTTAATACTTTAAATGATATTATTCTATAATTGTTAATGTACTTGTGGTGGTTACTACCAAAGTTGTTGGTATCATAATTCAGCATTACGAAGTCTTGCTTTGCATTATTGCTATAATTGTTATTTTGATAATACTGAAACTTTACTGAAGTGATTGCTATACCTAAAAGTTTGATTTATGTTTTTAATATTGATATAAATATTAATAATTTCCATCATAACAACAGTGCTAGCCAAAAATTGTTTTCATAATTAGGAAATGTACATGTGTACAATGATATAATAGCAATTGATGAGTTTTCACACAACAGTCTGCATGCTTGGCATGTTAAAATGGTGGACAGAAGTTTTAGCCACAATTTGCCACCCCAGGAGTTTTGGCCACACACTTGTTTAATATCTTATCAATTATATGTATTTACTAATAACTTGAACGTTGCAAGAAAAACCTTTTTCTAATTATTCAGTTTAACATGTAGGTTGCAAGTATTGCTTAATTATATTTATTTACTAAAAACTCGTACATTACAGGTACAGTGTTTTTATTTGTTATGTATGCATAAACACATCAATGTTTCAATTTCATATACACATTACATTTTGTAATTGTATCAATTGTTCATACTTATCACTGTCTAGTATTTTATATTACCCCGGTAAATAAAAATGAATATGCTGTACTTGAATCGTATTTAAGTTATTATCATCAGTCACTTTTGCAAAATGTTAAAATTATGATTGTCACAATGTAAATATGGCATACATATAATATACAAGTTATTGAAATAAATATAATTAAGCTGTAGCTGCAACTCATGACTTGTTAGTAAATAAATAAAAATCTGTTGTACTTGTATTGTACGAAAGTAAATTTATATAACGATAAAAACTTAATCAATAAGATAAAACATGTACCGGTATGTAGCCAAAACTATAAAACATTAAAATATAGTAAATACGTGTGTACCAGACTTACAACACCACATGCAATCTCATATGGCTATATTTATTCAAAATTTGAATTTATATATTTGTACTGCAAATTTCATGTTATCTTTAAACATATCGTTGTGTAAGACATTAGTGGCGTTCACATCACAGATCTTGGCATGTGCCAATAATCAAAGCCGAGTTGGCACATACCAAAAAAACTTGATCCCATTTCAAATAAGAAGTTAAGAACTCGACACATGCTGATATTGACATGAATAAACAAAAAATAGGTGTATGAGGGTGCAACTTTGAGTGGGTCCTAATTAATGTGAGTGCAACTTATTAATCTCTCTGCATACACAAATATTGAACACATACCGAGATCCTTTGAATATACATGTAGCTATTGTTTGTAATAAGAAATATTTCATAGACTCTATTGTCAATTTTTGTTGAATTGAGTGACAGTGACTTAGCATATCTGATTACAAGCAACATTACATGTACATCAAAAGAAATGCCTCATAGTTTTTAACTATAGAGTCTATGTAAAATAAAAAAGAATAGATGATGTAATGCCATGTACCAATAAAGAGAATAGATGCTATAATACCATTTATCACATGACCATCCAGGGCCGAAACATCCATGGCCTTAATGTTAAATTAGCATATGATTTGAAAGCATAGTTCTTTTAAATACTGATTTCTCTGACATTTTTACACTCCTTGTTGGTCATGAGATAAAAAGATATCACTTATTTGTGGAGCTGGCTAATACTCGTAACATCATGGGTTTTATTACCCGATTACTGACTAGCCATGGTGTCACTCGTACCAACCTGCTCTATGAACAAGTGATATCATATACTGGCAAGCAATGAAATGAGAGATAGATACCTGTATAATTTGCTGACCATCCCCAAGCTGCCACGTTAGTTAGAAGCCATTTGAAGAGTTTCCCTTCAATCGTCCAATACAGCTTAGGGTGAGACCACCTCAATGGCATTAGTAGTAGTAGATAGCAGAAGTAAGCTAACACATAGATATGTTGTGCAGTGATTAAGGTGCAGCGGATGATAACTTTAATTACCAGCAACAAAGACATAACTAAATGCTGTATTTTAGACATGATTAATGTTTCCTCCACATATATTTTATGAACCAAGTTAATGATGACGATGATAATGAAGAAATGTCTATGTAATCACATCACCTTTGTAACAGTCTCTTCATACATCACTTTTATCACATGTATATCTCAAAAGCTGTTGTACCTAGAATGGAAACATAATTTTGATATTTGTATCTCTTGATTCCAGCAACATTTAGGCAGCCATGACTTGGGATGTGATATTGAACACAATAAAGATTATATTCTATTTTTTTCTATATAACTCTATCAGGTGTGTTTGTGATATATCGATATGAACAGAGAAACACATGGAGGTTAATTAGACTTTACAATTATTTTTCAAGACAACTGCTTCCCGTAATGAAGTCTAGCAACAGAGACTGAGCTGTAAGCAGTTGCTAAGAATAAACGCCAGCAAAGCCCTACCGGTATGGCACATGCTATGGATCACACCCACAAAGAAATACTAAGGTACTGTAGAATACTTTATTTTCGGTTGGAATTTATTTTCGCTATTTTTGGTGAAGGGATGATTCCGTGAAAATAAAATCCAGCGAATATACTTTTTTTTCTATATTTCACATTAAACTCATCAAAAATCAGTGAAAATAAATTCCAAGCAAAACGCCCCAAAAGCCTTTTCAGCGAAAATTAATTCCAGCGAAAATAAAGTATTCCACAGTATAAAACTAGAAAAGCTAGGGACACGCCTGCAATGAAATACAAAAGCATAAACATTTGCTAAGAACACACACACATAATAAAGTATGGTGAATACCTTGACTATCAGTATTTACCGGGCTTCACAGCTAGTATCAGAAGTATTGAGACAGCCAATGTGCAAACTCGCTAGCAAGATTCAAAAGCCAACTGTTTAGTCAAAATCCAGTTAGCCAATTCACTAGTGAGTTTGAAAATTGACTGCCCCAATACTTCTGAGACTGGCTTTAATATCATGCTTTTTCAAAAGTTAAAATAATACGGTATTTGTGTCGTTGGCCTTGTCAATATTTGTGTCGCTGGTATTGACATTGGCTTTGTTAATAGGCCTACCGACATTGTAACTCTTTATTTCCAGCATAACCATATTAATAAATCATATTTAGGCATATCAATGAGGTCACATGACCATACCACGCAAACCTTAACAAGTATATAGGCTAATGACCTATGGCTCAACAGTTCTGCATAAGCTACTGCCAAAACTAATAATGAGCTAATCATATCGCACTGTAAAACAATTTTGCACTGGCACTCAATTCCTCTATTTCGATGCTTTGAGCAATTTCATTGGGTTTTAAGGTCACAAACTAGGCAGGAAAACAACAAGTTCTATTGTTATTTTACACGTTCACGTAGATTTAATTTAGTTATTGGTGAAAATAGTGAAATTAAAACCAGCATATAATTAATGCATTTACAGTAATTAATTTTGTAAAACAACAAAGCATAACAATAGAAAGTACCAATTGCCACTATTGGAGGCTAATTGAGCTCTATTGTTCATTTCAGCCCCAGCTTTTATAGAGAATTATAGAGTAGGAGCCTCTATGCTTTGGGAAGAACCCAGTAATCTTCTTGAAATACACAAATTACCTACAAGAGCAGCAGTACTTACATATCAAATAAATTTTGGCTGATTGAAAAAATAGCATGTTTTGCCATCCTGAATAAACAAATTTGAGAGGTCAATCTTATGTGCATTGGTAACTTTATCACAGCTTTATTGAACAAATACTGGTAATTTTATTTGAGCAGAAATGTACAATATAGTTGAGATGTTTGTCTATGTTCAATTTTTTGCAACTCTCACATAAACATAACAAAATTGTCCCCAAATATCCCGAAACAAAAACAGAATGTATGTGTGCATGTGGGGTGGGATGGGCATTGGTGGGGGTGGTGTATGACCAGTGCAATTTTATTTCAGTGTTGCTCCCTAGAAAGATAGCATGAAATTTACATAACAATATGTTATGTTAATATCCTCTATTGTACTCTGTATAACTATTGTTATGCTAAATTGGTTCTATTAAACAGTTGGAAACCCTATTTGCTCCAGGGAGAAACCTGGTTGTATGTACACATTTTTATTTTTCCTGCATGCCCTTTTTTTTTCTCTCGGCTGTCCAGCTTACAATTTTTTTCTAACAAATCTGGCCTTCCCCCATGATTTTAAATTGTTCACCCCTAATACTACCAGCACATACCATTGGAATTACATTCAACTTGCACAGATGAGATTAAATCTTGTTTTAGATAATTTGTTGTGATTAACACTCATCTTCACTTTCCTACATACAATAAAAATTTTCTATTTAAAACAAAAAATCATTGTTCAGTAAATAACACATTATGCGAGAGTCTATTTAATGCATGTGGGAATCATTTTAGTGCATTACACGAAAACAAATATATTAAAATATAATAGTAATAAATCGGAAATATAAATGTTATATACGACTAAGATAACATATTCTTAGAAAAGACAAGACATTGTTAATCATAATAACTGTTATTTTCAAAACGTCGATGACCGGAAGCGTGATCATGGATGTTCATTTTTAATTTTATTTTTTAATCTACATGGATGAGGAATGTACGAATATTAACTACGGGTAATTAATTGACGCATCGGAAATATGGGCAATAATTTCCAAATCATCAGACAAAATGGAAAGTACCGGTAGATTTTTTTCTATTTTTTTTAATAATAATGAAAACTGCAGCAGACAGATATCACAGCACCGCTATTCAACCGAATCTTTACCGTCGCACACCAACGCGTATCTTGACTGTAATACAAGCAACCATAATGTCAGGAGATATTGTGAAGATACCTCACCTGTTAGTTGCAGTAATATTCACTGTGATGTAGATGTCTTCATATCGGGCTTGTCCGGCATTTTATTCATTCTATTCGTTTGGCAGCTGTTCTAACGTTGTATGCAAATTGCAGTACGGGAGGCGAACCGGGCGCCGCTCAACTCGTGACTTATGGCACGTGATGTCAAGAATCCAATCAGTGACGCAAACGTTCGCGGTACGTTTGGGTAGCCATTTTGTTTTGTTCATTTCTTTGTACTGGGTTGGTCTAGTTTGGTTACCCCAAATCCTAAGATTTTATCATCTTTTTAGGGAAATTAATCCATAAACCCTTCACCAAGTGTGAAAGAAGCGATCGATTGTTGGAATGAGTGTATTGGTGTCTCCAGTAATGCCGTTCAACAACAGCTGTGAATCTGTTGCAGACACTCCAACTTCTGACACTAGTGGTTCGAGTTTTGGCGAACTGTTTCCCGATTTGGCTGATCTTGTGAGTGCTGCTTCAACTGCATCAATTCCATCGATCACCGAAGGCGCTGACACGACAAAGAAGCGCCACGTTATCAAGATTAAAATGCAGTCGGAAAAAGACGAAAAGATGCTGATGGAATATTTACTAGGCAAGTCAAATAATAACTCTACCCCAACCTTGGAACTTGTAAAGCCGCATACAATTATACCAAACGACCTCCAATCAGTGTCCACTACTACAAGTACCAACGATATTGAGTGTCTCTCACCATCAGTTACCTCGACTGTGACTAATCCCGCTATACCATCGTTGCCAAACGCCCCCTTACACCACATTGAACCAATCTCCCAGTCACAGGATTCTTTGGAATTGAAGTTAGCGGAAGGCGACGCTCTCAACAAAAATGCAATCAACGCCAGATTGAACAGACTGAAAAAAAAGAAATATGTTGAAACCTTAGAAAGCTCAGTTAGGACTCTAACTTGTGAAAACACAAAGTTGAAAGACGAGAAAAAGCAACTATCTACTAAAGTTGATACGCTCGAAAATGAAATCACGTATTTGAAAGGTGTGCTGGCCAATCAGAGTGAGTTGTCCTCGCTTCTCACTAACATTGGAAACACTCCTGGCGTAAAGTTTCACAGTACACTAACTACAGTGGATGAGAACACATGCAATTGCGAAATAAATACACCAGCGAAGAAGAGAAAGTTAGATTCCGAGACTGCTACAAATGCTAAATGTCGACCGGTAACCAGGGCAATGAGATCTTGTGGACAAACTGTCAAGGAATCCAATAAAAGTAGCAGCGACAAAAATGTTTGTGGATGTAAAAAGTCCACATCAAAAGTTGATGTGCCTTCAAAATCGGAAGCAGCTGGCGTTTGCTTACATGTATCAAATGGATCAGTATCTTTGGAGTTCTGTTCAAGATGCAACAACATTGCTAAGGAAGCCACCCAAAAAGAGCAGCTACACACAGTGTAAATACAGAAGCAGATGTTCATCTTGGTGGAGTATTATTATTAGACCATGGTCTGTGATTTCATTAACTAACTTGGTACTCTTAGTTACGTCAAAGACAATGTCTTTGGTTACATTGTACAAATATAACTTGAGATAAAAAATGAATAGGACCTGTTGCCACCTTCAAGAACTTATTTTTGAACTTTTGATTCAGAAACAAAATATGAACTTGTAACATCGAGGCCAGTCATTCCTTCTGTAATGACTGGTGTCTTTGATCTCCTTTGGGATTTTTTTTTGTATTTCTGAAATGGTTTGCAGAACACACGTAAATCCGCTTTCAGAGTTTTTTTTCTGTTTTATTTCAGATTATGGTAATGGAAGATCAGAAGTATAGTTCAAGTTGTGTGCAGAGTGCAACAATGGGTTTAAGTATACCATAATAAATGGTCCGTGTCAATTTCATACATTTTCTTATGAAATCATTTATCAACAATTTCCCGATGCAGACTTTATTATTCCATGAACCCCTGGATGTGACTGGGTCCTCTCAAAAGATCTTTTCTATTTTTACAGGTGCAGTCTTTTGAATCTCTTTTTGAAAGAATATTGTGGACGTTTTGATAAAAACCATAGTAAATGGTAAACAATCTAATATGTTATCCTGGGATGGACCACTAATGAAAGGCTTTACATTGTAGATATTCAGATTTACAGACTCTCAACATAGACC